GCTCCTCTCCCTAAGTCCACATGTTCTCATTGTTCAACACCCACTTATGAGTGAGAACATGCGGTGTTTGGCTTGAGAAACCTGTTTAATTTCATGTGCCATTTTCCAAACTTATTTTATTCTGTCTGATGTTGAGCACGTAACTGTTCTAGATTCTGTGGGTACACTGCACAAAAATCAAAGCTCCTGTACTCATCGAGAAGGATAAGAACACTGAAAGTTAGGTCTCCTAAGCTTTACTCGGCCAAGCGTCACCCCTCAATATCTGCCACATCTAGGTGCCACCAGCGCTATTATTTGCTCAACATATTTCTTTAAAGTTGCTCACTTTTCTTCACTTCAATAAATTCATTTTAAGAGATTGGTTAACATCAGTATTGTCATACAAAAAAGCAGTACCACTTTCCATAAATAGGAAGTACAACTAAAAATAAATACTGTACTATGAAAACAAAATCCCATTATTAAATTCTGCTGGACCATTGTCCAAATAAAGCTTTGAGCCTCAGTCCTGCCCTCTCACTTTCTCTCTCTTTTTTTTTGTTAAAATGGGAATTATTAAAGTATTAGGGATGCAGTAGAGAAATGCTAGTATTAAATTGAAGCGTTCTCTTTTGCGTAAGCAGAAGGACTAAAAGGACCACTGGAAAAGGATTTCTTTCCAGTCTGTGTTTCAAAATCATTTAACGTGTGTCCCTACATAACCTACTGTGATATTGTGAGCCGCCAAAACGTATTTTGTGTCACGTTATCGGCTCCTCCATTTTGTGCTCTGAGAAACAGTGGTCTCAGGGAACGAAACCCCTCGGTTGCCTTGATTGTGCCTGAAACTCTTCCCCGATGCTCCTGGCCCCAATGTGAACTGGATACACCCTGACATGTTGTTAGGAAATTGGGTGCTGAAGCCTAGGTGTGTATCCTTCAGGCCACCATGAGAACTGTCTCGGTTCCTTTGGGTTGCTATAAAAAAATACAACAGGCCAGGCACGGTGGCTCATGCCTGTAATCCCAGCACTGTGGGAGGATCACCTGAGGTCAGGAGTTCAAGACCAGCCTGGCCAACAGGGCAAACCTCCGTCTCTACTACAAAAAAATCAGCCAAGCCTGTTGTTGGGCGCCTATAATCCCAGCTACTTGGGAGGCTGAGGCAGGAGAATTGCTTGAACCTGGGAGGTGGAGGTTGCAGTGAGCTGAGACCGCACCACTGCACTCCAGCCTGGATGCCAGAGTAAGACTCCATTTCAAAAAATACAATACAATACCATACAATACAATACAGTAAAGTACACTACAGTACAGCACAATATAGTACAGCACAGCGCAGCACAGCACAATACAATAAAACACAGTACAGTATAATACAGTATAATACAGTACAGTACAGTACAATGTATAATACAGTACAGCACCATACAATATACTACAGCACAGCACAATACAGTACAGTATAGTACAGTACAAATGCAATACAGCACAGCACAATACAGCACAGCACAATGCAGTACAGCACAGTGCCATACAGTATAGTATAGTACAGTAGAGTACAATACAGTACCATACAATACAACACAGTACAGTGCAATACAGTATGCGACAGTACAGCACTACAATAAAACACAGTACAGCACAATACAATATAGTACAGTACATTACAAATACAATACAGCACAGCACAATGCAGCACAGATACAATACAGCACAGATACAATACAGCACAGATACAATACAGCACAGA